AACTATATACCATTAAATTAAGGGCCACAACATCACAAAATGCATTGACGTGATAAAAGACATGTTCAGTGGTTTACAGGCAAAGTTCAACTTCTTGCCTTTCCCATTTTATCAATGACTTTGCACGTTTCAAACCTTGAGCGTGTTTTACTAAAAACTGGCCACTTTTTAGTAAAACACTGGTCTAGTCCATTTTCCAGAGCTTTCCCCTTTTCAATTCTGGCCTTCTCTATGCTCCTTTTACTCTCCGTCTTTCAGACACCAGTGACTGAGTGCAGTGGGCTACATCAGGGTGAGCAGAGAAAAAAAGAAGCTGGCAGTGTAAGCATAGGCAGCCCAGGGAGGCAGTAACAGAGAAACTGATCCACTCATAGCTGAACACCGGCTTAACATTTTTTTTTTACAAATCAGTGGCCCTGGCAGCCCAAAAATAAGTCTGGGAATTGTTTAGGTCCTCTCGATTAGCCACTACGGGCCTGACAGCCATGAAAGACTAGAAATAAGAGCATTCATTAAAGCTATTTCATTAAAGCAGTATAAACAATAATTTATGCTCCCCCAGTGGACAAAAGCTGTATTGATCTGCTTGAAGGAAGACAGCATTTCCCATGAAGACGAGAGAGGTAAAAACCATAGCGTGACATAATCCTGATCTCCTGGTTATCTGCAGTTGGATTGAACGACATCTCTGTTTCCAGTGGCTGTGTGAAAGATGAATAGTGATGAGGTAATATATCTAATTATGGTGAAACGATTACATATGACCATGTTGAAAATAAGAAATGTTAACTTTGGTTTTGTGCAGTATTGCTACACCGCTGCCACCCGCAACAATTGTTTTTAAACCTTGTTTGGAGTTTTGATAGCTCTGTATTATGACCAAGTAAAAAAATTATCTTGGAACATTGTTGATAGGGCACCACAATTCAGCGTCAATGTGGTGTATGCTTCGACCACTGGCATTACAGAATCTGGTCACAAATAGGGGCTGCCATGAGCATGTTACTTCCAATCATGCTCAGTTCAGCTCTTGTGAAAGGCCTTCGAAAATTTGCAGACATCCAGTCATCCTGATGAGAGCTTTCGTCAGACTTGCTGTGAAGCATTGATTTGAAACTATTATTTGTTATCAGACATAATTTGAAAGTTCTACAGACTGTCATGAAGGATTATGACTTTGTTCTTGTCAGGCCGGGCAATGTCATCAACTTTTCATATTAAAGTGTTAGAAAATCGTCCTTAACGATGCAAACATTAATTCTGGGGGCTGTGATTAGGCATTGGAGTTTTATAGCTGTTTAAAATACTCTAGGAGGGAAAGTTGATTTAAATTCCAAATATATCCCATTGAGCTATTCCTAGTTTTTCCCTGTCCCACAAAGGTCTCTATTCCTAGCAGGATTCAACATCTTGTTGTGTCTCATTCAACATGGTTTGAATATGACCATATGATTGTGTTTAGAACTGAGATCTGATGACGGCTGGAAGTTTGGGACCACTGCCACTTGATATGTTGAAGACTTAACAGCTTTGTGATGAGGAGAAAGTATTCCAACCCTTCTATGTCCATATGATGCAGATAAAAGATTCAGAAAAGTTTTGATTTCCAACACCTTTAGACATGGCAACACTCACATCAGATTAAAGAGTTTGTCCTGCAACCAGAAGGTTGGTTGTTAAAGCCTTGGCTCTGGCTTTAAGGTCCGTTGTGTCCTTGGTCAAGACACTTCACCTGCATTTCCTATTGATGATGTACGACAGCCTCACCTTTGTCACTGAGCCCCAGGGCAGCTGTGGCTACAATGTAGCTTGCCACCATCTGTGTGGGTATGTGTGTTTGTGTGAATGGGTGAATGACTGAGTGTAGTGTAAATAGCTTTGGTTGAGTCTCCTGACTTAAAAAAAGCATAGGCCATTTACATTACAAAGTCTACGAGACTAGTAGGAGGAGTTCACTCAGACACAAAGGCTATGTCTGATCGCCCTACCCTTACACCATTTTATATTGGTGTCCGAACATCTAGTGGATGGAAAAGTAGTGAACTCAAAATTTCCTCAATGCACCTTGAACCAACCATGGTCACTAGACAAAGAGATATATCCCAGAATTCTTTGCAAGAGCTCTCCACGCAAAGCATCATGGGATTTGATTTGGGGGGTGGGGGGGTAGAACAAATATGCCGCAGGCACTGAGCGGGGAGGCGGTGTCACTTGACCAACGTGGAGCAAAAAGTAGTGATTATGTGGCAAAAATCCTCAAATTGTTGTTACAACTTTTATGACTTCTGTGTGTACCACATTTTATATTCTCTGCTCAAACATAGCTTTTGGGTGATATTTTAATGCTTTTAAGGAAACTGCAGGAGTATATTGCCTGAACATCTTATCGTTTAAGGATGGATTCATATCTATTTTACCTTTTAACATGATTGTTTTGAACAGTTCGAATCCTATTCAAACGTTTAAATCCCAGAGTCTTATTGGGGTCCAAATGTATTTCAATACCAACTCCTTACAATCCCTGGAAGGAGGGCTAAGCTAAGCCCATGCTGATGCATTGCCCCTAATTTCACTGAAATACCAACATTTCTCTTAAAAGTATAAGTTTTTTCATTTTGCTGATAACTAATACATGCATGGGTCCAATTTTAAGAGAGAATCATAACATTAACAAGAGTCATTTGCAGTCCTTACTGTAAGCTGTCCGGTTCCAACTCAACTGCAGCTTAGATATATAAAAAAAAAAAACTAAAGGTATAGCTTTACAGTAGATATCACTTTCCTAATTTCATGTTTATTTTTATTTCAGAAAGTTTAAAAAAAGTTTTGAGAAAATATCTTATCATTAAGTTAGTTAAGTGCTAAATCCGCAATATATATATATATTTTTTTTTTTTGTGAATGATTCAGTTTCTTTTGAATCCATAACTTACCTATACATGTTTTTTTTTTTTTTTAAGAATAGAGGTAGAACTGAGATAGACACATTTTTTGACAGCATTTTGTGTAGAGATTCGTCTAGATTCTGGACCTTCTTCTCTAGAAGGTGTCTTCTGACTTATTACTTAAGAAATTCCTCAGCCTTTGCACAGGTCAATGCTTGAAAAGGTTCTATGAAAAATCTAGCTTTGTCCATCTATTTTTTTTTTTAATACAAATTGCTTTTATCCAGATCACAAAATGTAATGGTACTTCCAATTAGTCTTGTGTGGAAACCACTTCCATAAATAGTATTTCCATGTTTCATAATCTGCACTGCAAAAGTATTTTGCTCTCAACATAATTAAATTTTATTGTTATAGCAGCACAATCCACTGCCATCAGGTCTGTCCAACATGGCATTTTGTCTTAAAAATACTGGGTGCACTGAGTGTGGGTTGGTGGTTTATGCGATGTTTGCTTCCCACAAGCATTACTGTGTGAATTCTGGGTCTTAATAAATTAGTTAACTTATTCGAACCACATTAGTGGATATCTGAAAATGATAGAAAAATAATGCTTTGGTATAAAAAAAAAATGTGACAACATGCAACAGCTCACAAATCAGTTTTATTAATTTAAACACAATCAAATAATAATGTCAAAAACATCTGTACACATTTTTTTTTTTTTTTGCAGACACAACAATCTTTTGCGTTTTCACAATGAGGCCCATGAAGTGTAAATTATTTCCAGTTTGCATTTACGATTGCAACGTAATAAAAAAGCGTGCTTTATGAATCTAAAAAACATTTTCCTCTATTAACCTACCTTTACCTTGATCTAGCAGCAGTATGTAGATACCCCAGATTATGTGTGTGTGTGTGTGTGGGGAAGTTGTTTCAACACAAAGGGGGACTCTGTTCAAGCAGAGAAGATCTGAAGTTAAATGTGAAGGCCAAGAGTGAACATGTGCAAAGGAGGGAAAAATTAGAAACTCAACAAGTCAGTTTCCATTTAAGAAATTCACAGTTGATAGCACATGTCCTGTAAGTTCCCCAACCCCTTAAAATTAGTGGCTTCTCTTTCACTGTTAATTATGATTACCCCATCGAAGTCAAAGTCGAAATAAAAACATTACATCATACAAAATAACGCTCGCTGTACAAGAGTTTTTTATAGTGCTTGTATAAAAGATAATAAAACCTATTCAAGCTTGCTTCTTTAAATATCAGATTCATTCAAAATGCAGTTAAAATGCCCCTCAGGAGACAGGAAACTGCCTTTTACTGCCGTTCTCTAAACCCTCATCAGATTTAATTTTGTCTTTTAATGTGTCAGGATAAGGGTTGCAAGCTGGTGAGATGCCCTAAGGACACAGATGGAGAGCTTTTACTTTTTAAATATGGGACATATAGTAGGAGAGAAACATCCCAGAATCAAAAGAAAGCTCCTTGACACTTTGATATTCATGCTTTTGGTCTTGATAAACAATCGATCCCATTATCTACAAGATTTTTTTTCTTTTAATAAAACTCAACTTGAATGTGTCCAACATGTTCAGGTTTTCTCCATAAGCTTGTGGGCAAATGAATGTCTTCAAAGTTTTACTTCAATTAAAAAGCAAAGCCACCTTTCAAGAGCATTTACCTAAATGATTATAGGAAGGAATAGTCCAGTGATTACAAACTTACACACCGGAAAAAAAAAAAAAAAGATTTCCTCTGTACACGATTGTCTCAGCGATGTAAGGTTTTTGTTAATTTTCTTAAATTATTAGAAAACCCCATTTTCTTTTATTTTTTTTGTAATTCTTCCATAAATGTCTTTTTTTTGTCCTCGTTGTTTGTTTGTTTGTAAAAGGCACAAGTCTTTGTCATCGAGGTACCTTCTCAGCGGCGCTTGGGCCACTCGCAAAGTCTCTTCATAAATAAGAAGCACAGGACTCCCCCGTTGAGGCTGATAAAAATCACTATAAGCCTGTCTGTCCATTTACAGAGAAGGGAGACGTGGAAGTCAAAAAGTGGTAAAACGCAGAGGATGCAGAGGAGAAAGCAGCAGAAATCTTAGCCAGCGGCTGAAACAGAGTTCTGCAGCAAGAAAGGCGAGTCCGTCAGTAGCTCTGCTCTCTTCCAAGGTGTGAAACCTGATGGAGCCCCGGCACAAACGGGAAGGTGTGGAGGGGCAGTAAAACACTTTAACAGCTTTAGAAAGCAGCCGATTCACAGTAACCAGGGCGAGCAGCTGCTGCACTGTAAATTCACCTCTCTCCCGTTCTTTGTGTCGCAGAAGAGAAAAAAAAAGGCACAAAAAAAGTTTCAGGGTTAAGACAATGTGTGACTATATGTCAGCACATTAACCGTGTGCTTCTTTTTTTCCCCCACTGTCCTCTTCTTTTTCCTTTCATTGTAGCAAAAGATAGATGCAGCATGCAAAGGAGGAAGGGGGTGGGATGGAGGGGCTTTTCCCTCTTTCTGTAGTCTGGAGGCCACAGCAAGCATGAGATGGGGGCCGAGAGCAATGGTGAAAGGCGGTTGGATCTATGTCCTGATGCGTAGAGAGGGGCGTACTGTGGTGCAGTGCTACAAGTACTCCAGGTCCAGAGCGTGGTGGAGGGCCATGAGGTCCGAATGGCTGGAGATCCTCCAGAAAGGCATGTTGTGCTGCAGATCAACAAAAAAAAACAAAAAAAAAACATCAAATTTGGAGTTAATCTCAGATTTTTACAGAAATAACAGAACCTTTTAGCTTCCCAATGTAAGATACAAACCGGATTCCAAAAAAGTTGGGACACTAAACAAATTGTGAATAAAAACTGAATGCAATTATGTGGAGGTGTCAAAAACAAATATTTTATTCAGAATAGAACACAAATCACAGATCAAAAGTTGAAACTGAGAGAATGTATCATTTTAAGGGAAGAATATGTTATTTCCAAATTTCATGGCGTCAACAAATTCCAAAAAAGTTGGGACAAGGCCATTTTTACCACTGTGTGGCATCCCCCCTTCTTCTAACAACACTCAACAGACGTCTGGGGACAGAGGAGACCAGTTTCTCAAGTTTAGAAATAGGAATGCTCTCCCATTCATGTCTAATACAGGCCTCTAACTGTTCAATCGTCTTGGGCCTTCTTTGTTGCACCTTCCTCTTTATGATGCGCCAAATGTTCTCTATAGGTGAAAGATCTGGACTGCAGGCTGGCCATTTCAGGACCCGGATCCTTCTCCTACGTAGCCATGATGTTGTGATTGCTGCAGAATGTGGTCTGGCATTATCTTGTTGAAAAATGCAGGGTCTTCCCTGAAACAGATGACGTCTAGATGGAAGCATATGTTGTTCGAGAACCTGAACATAGGTCTCTGCATTTATGATGCCTTTCCAGACATGCAAGCTGCCCATGCCACAAGCACTCATGCAACCCCATACCATCAGTGATGCAGGTTTCTGAACAGAGCGTTGATAACAGCTTGGGTTATCCTTGTCCTCTCTGGTCCGGATGACACGGCGTCCCAGTGTTCCATAAAGAACTTAAAATCATGACTCATCTGACCACAGAACAGTCTTCCATTTTGCCTCACTCCATTTTAAATGATCCCTGGCCCAGTGCAAACGCCTGAGCTTGTGGAGCTTGCTTAGAAATGGCTTCCTCTTTGCACTGTAGAGTTTCAGCTGGCAACGGCGGAAGGCACGGCGGATTGTGTTCACTGACAATGCTTTCTGGAAGTATTCCTGAGCCCATTCTGTTATTTCCTTGACAGTAGCATTCCTGTTTGAGGTGCAGTGATGTTTAAGGGCCCGGAGATCACGAGCATCAAGTAAAGTTTTACGGCCTTGACCCTTACGCACAGCGATTGTTCCAGATTCTCTGAATCTTTTGATGATGTTATGCACGGTTGATGATGATAACTTAAAAGTCTTTGCTATTTTACGCTGGGCAACACCATTCTGGTATTGCTGCACTATCTTTCTGCGCAGCAATGGTGGAATAGGTGATCCTCTTACCATCTTGGCTTCAGAGAGACACTGACACTCTGAGAGGCTCTTTTTATACCCAGTCCTGTTGTCAATTGACCTGATTAGTGTTAGTTTGTCTTCCAGCTGTTCCTTATTTGTTCAATATCCTTTTCCCAGCCACTTATTGCTACTTGTCCCAACTTTTTTGGGATCTGTAGACACTGGGAAATTTTGAATCAACATATTTTTCCTTGAAAATGTTACATTTACTCAGATTAAACTTTTGAGCTGTCATCTTTGTTCTATTACGAATAAAATATGGATATTTGCCATCTTCACATCATTGCATTCAGTTTTTATTCACAATTTGTTTAGTGTCCCAACTTTTTTGGAATCCGGTTTGTATATTATAGCAACATAAATTGCACAAGGGACAAATCATAAAGATCAACAGTTTATATAGTAAAAAAGAATAAATGCACACAATATAGTAAGTATTGCAATGTGATTTTTTTTAAGTTGGAAAGTAAATTTCAAATAACAGTTATCTGAAAAGCCAGGAGCTAAAGTATTTTGCCTGGCATCAGAAAATGATGAGCTACTTTGCAAATGTATCCACTGGAATCTTAAAAACTTCAAAAGTTTAGGGTTGCAGCCTTACAATAAAAACAAAAAAAACTCTGGGGATGTGAATATTTTTGCAAGCACTACAAAGAACATCACTCAATAATTACTCATTTCATGTAGATTTCATTATTTCTACTTAAGGCAGAAAATAAACTATAATGATTTCCTCTCCAGGAAAACCAGTAATCAATCTAAGCAACAACATACCTTAAATTTTAGTTTTCTGTAACTTCTACAAACGGAATTCTTTTATAGCCTGAAACCAGGCCACAGCTTTTTTTCAGGCATAACAGAAGTGAACTCCCCATGGTGTCTTTTCACTGAGCTTCCTGCTTGCTAGTGTGTTTTTAGGACAGTGCAAATGAGCTGTTGTTCCTGAGCAAAGGATGGAAGCGAAACCTGAGTCGCAGAGAATGAAAGGAGCTTGTCAGGTAGAGTCCTCAGCTCTTCGGTGTGTGGAGCCCATTACCCTCCCCTTATCAAAGGAGTATAGCCTCTCCCAGGCGTATGTTCCGCTTAGGAGAGCCTGCACTGACCCTTAAAAAGCTCTTTGCTTTTTGTTTTGTAAATTGTCTTTGCTTTTAAGTTTAAAAGCTGGAGATGTTATCTCAGCCTTTTTCTCCCAGGCGATGATAATAACCGAAGACAGAATTGTTTCAGGGATTTTTTTTTTTTAGGGTGAAGGAATGAGGACTTTCAAACGTTTGCTTTTGTAGTTCCACGATGTGTCACGTCTGATATGTGCTTTCTAACGGGTGAAATTGTTGTGTTATTCCACGTCCTCTCCAATGTTGACACAGAAACCTTTTACTCTGTGGCGTCTCACTGGACTAGCACCACTCGGATGGGAAGAAAAACACCTAATCCTTCCATCAGTGTCAAACTCCAAAAACTCCAAGACAGAGCAACAACATTTGCATCTACTCCAACAATCATCCCTCAAGACTTTATTCCTAGAGTCTGTTCACTTTTCATAATACAGAGCTATTGCTTTACACTCTAACTCAGGGTAAAAAGTTGCTGGCTCTTCTGTAATGACTGCCTAATCATTCTCCGTCTACCCTTTTGCTTCTACTGAGTGTTTACAGACACACAAGTGAGGGGAAAAAAAAGTTTAAGATGTTTCAAAGAGAAGCCGAGTCATCAGCCTGTCACAGAGGCCTGCAGTAACTGTTAGGAAAGTATGCTCTAAAGTTTCTAATGAGTGAATAGCATTTTGGTTTACATGAAAAACCTAATAGAAATGCTGTAAACACAAGAGAGCGAACAGAAGTCTGGTGGTAACATTAAACAATGCCTCATCTGTAGAGAAAATGTGGTTTCCTGGGTGGCTTGGAGCCAGAATCATCTCGTGCTAACAGGCCTGTCATTGCACTAAATATTCTAATTTCATCAACAATGATTTAAGTTCCTTTATTTGCGTTCTATTTACGATGTGCCTTCAACATGCCTGAAAGGTCTTGTCTAGCGTTACACATGGAGCATTCACACTGCACTGAGCAGCGAGCAGGAATATATAATTATACCATCTCCCTCCTCCTCTGCTCTGTAAACCTGAGATGGTGGAGGAAGAGCGCTGATTACAGCCTACCAACTTTCTTTCTTGTACTTGGACGCTTAATAAGAGGATAAACAGATGAGATTGTGGAGGAGAACTGGAGTGCTAATTACTTTCTTTGGAGTGGTATGACAGGTATGTGTTTTGTGTTCCCTGAGTACTTATAACAGCGCTCTGACATTATGGAACAGAAAGTAGAATGAAAAAAGTTGTTTGGTGCCCCTTTACCTTTTTTGAGCCTTGTTCTTCTTCCACACCGTCTCCGATAACAATGTAAACAACTTTCCTCCCGAATCTTTGAATTACTCTCTCAAAGCAGCTTTCCTTCCCTGTGAAGAAAGTCAGGATGTTAGTCAAGCATTGCATGGATGCAAACAGAAACACACTCCTACAATGACCACTGAGTCCTCAGTTGATTTAAAGGCACGGTGTGACAAGAGCCCCTTTAAAAACACCAAAAAGGGGGAAGAGTGTAAACATTGAGCTCAGGAAGGGTGTGATAAGATCAGCCTTTAGATAGAGACCATCCTAAATGAATTCAAGTTACCTCATTGCTATAAGGGAACAAATTCAAAACCACTTTGGAGTTTGCATTGGTCGTGAACATAGTGAGGCTCTTACATGAAAATAATATATACATATATGACAGAACTACTTTAATCTTAAACATAAAACCAAGAGATGTTCCTTCTACATCAAAAAATAGTCTAACACATTTATTCTTCTGTTATAGAAATATGTGACCAGTCTCCATGTGCTTATTGGACAAAATACTATGCTGTATTTATGGATTTGTAGTGTTCTATTGTGTTTGTTTATTCTTCAGTTTCATGTAAAGATGACATTGTAATCTACTTGATAATTATCATTTCACGACTTGGGTTAAAATTATATATACTGTATAGCATTTTTGTCTTGGGTGTAGACAAAGTGTTCATAAGCTCTTATTCCTTTTTTTAAACTTTGACTTTTGTTACTTTTGACTATAGGAAGATGAATCTAAATAAAAACCAAATAATTGCTAAGAGGATGCTCCTCATAAAAACTGTAGTAATAAAAGGGCATTACCTTAGGAGTGATAGTCTAAGCTGTAATAACGACTGTCTTTGTTTTTCCAAGATTTAAAAACAAGTTAATTTTTTTTTCTTGTGTAATAACCCATCAAGTCTGCTCCAAAAATCCCTAAGGTGATGGTCATTTCACCCTTTCACCATTAGGCTTCTTAAGGTTTTTGTGCATATTTTACTAAACTGTTTTGGGTCTAACAGGATACATTCTGAACCAACCGTGCATCAATTCATCCCCACCTGAGTGGTCATGCATTACCTTGGAAGAAAGATGAATTGTTGGGAGATTTGTGAATTCCCAAATTCCCTAAAATATATCTTGCCAGAAGCCAATGGATGCATTAGCCTCGATACAGAAATGTTTAGAACAAGTGAAATGCAGTGATGTGTATGACATCAACCAGAAGCAGAAGGCTAAAGCTTAACAACATGGCTGCAATGGTCTTAGCTGGCATACTCTCTACTTGTTGAAAAACGAGAAAAACAGAACCCAGGTAAATACAGTTAATGTAACACAATATTTTTCAAATAATACTGTGTTTTCCAGCTTTTATTGTCATCACACTGTCACCAGTACAGAGCAACGAAATGAACTCTCTGCATTTAACCCATCCCCTTCGGGAGCAGTGGGCTGCCAATGTGTGGTGCCTGGGGAGCAGTGTGGGGTTAAGAGTCTTTGCTCAGGGACCCAGAGTGGCAGTCTGTGGGAGTGGGGCTTGAACTCTGAACCTCTGGATTCCAAGAGCAATGTCCTAACCACTAGGCCGCCACTCCCCATAAAATAAATACATTTCTTAACTGCAAAGGTAAATATATTGATATTCATTGGTTAGGTATGAGGGTATTCAATATGTTTATGAAGGGTTAAAAATATCAAATGACAATGTGAAGAATGGAAATCAGGATATTTATTTGTGAAAGGGAGGAGGCCTGTCATTTATTTTGCTTTGAAAATAGTGAAAAGGGCATAATTGGGAGGCAAAACTGTTGGCGGGGGGTGGGGGAGAAGAAGGAGGAGCAGGAGAGGGGCTTCTGTTTCTCTAGAATGACATAAATGCATAGAAGTGGTTTCATATGCAGAGGAGAGTAGCAGAGGCCCAGCACAGGTCCTGCTCCAAGAAAATAATCCCACGTTGATTAGAACAATTCCCTCAATGAGGAACATCAACCCTCTCCGGTGACAAAAGATCCACCCCATCCCCCCAGCTTCAGTCTTGTCACTAAGGAAGAAATGCGTTTCTACAATACTTATGCTTACAGTCTAAAAAAGCAGGATGGGAAATCACAGTTACCTATTTTTGTTGCACTATAAATATTCTCTATAGGGAAGACAACTCCCAAGCCGTAAAGCAGGACCTTCGCCAGGGCTGGGATGAGCTGCGTGGTGGTCACCAGGATATTCACACAGTTTGACCTAAGGAGGAAAGTTAGGTGGTGACATCATTTCAAATATCTCTGAGGGAGGAGAAAAGAAAACACAATCTTCTGTATAAATGACACAGCAATGTATCAAGTCCCCAAAACATGTCTTACATTGAAGGATTGGCTCATTTTTCAGCTCAGATCTTTTAGCACACTTATTTGTCAAAATTAGAGCAGGCAGGCCATACAAAGGAGAATCCACACAAGAGATTCTTTTGATAGCTTAAAACCCACAGCTTATTTACACCACATACATATCTATAGATATGCAGTGTGGACATGGGTACTATATTCGCTCTCAGGAGTCCTACCTTGAGTGGATTAATGTTAGTGCTTTCAGTGCCAGTGTTAACCAGGAGTCCGTCAAGGCTTCAATTTCTGCTCGCAATTGCAACCAGGCTTCCCTTTTGGCAGGGCCCAGCAGACCTGAAACACAGGGTAACAATGTTTGCGTTGGACCAGTCATCTGACTACCACTGAAAATTTCAAAATGCCCCCCCCCCTCCAAAAAACATACACATGCACTTACTTAAATGCCCACACAGAGAGGGCACACACTCGCACACATATGTACAAAATCATTTCTAGCCAGCAGAACTAAGCACGGGGCACTGCTTGTTGGGGATTACCTCCAACATTATTTTTGTAGGTGGTGTAGATTTCTTTTACTCGTCTGTAGCGGAAGGCGAGTTTTCTCATCCAGTCCACGCCTCCCCGCACGCCTGTGGCCAGGCAAAGGTTGGCACTCGTAGCTGCTGCGTGGAAACCATCAGCGCTGAAGTTATATGTACTAAAATAAAGACAGAGATAGGATCTGTTAGCTCAAGCTGCTACATTAATGAGTGTTTTCTTTTTAACCAATTATGAGAGATTTGAAGAGATGTTTGAAACCTTAGATCCTGGCCATTATCGTCTGAGGACACATCATCAATATGTACCTGGTCACATTCCTGAAACACAAAACACAATTATGTTCGATTATAAGACTAATAAAAACATTTTTTCCTTTTTTTTGTTTTCATTTTTAAGCATTGTATAAACTCTCAAGTGAAGTCCTTGTGCACTTTGATATTGTTTGCTCAGTTTTTGCTGCTGCAGGTTTTAGTTTAATACAACAGTTTCAATGAGACTTAGATAGGAAGGTTTGATGCACTAAAAAATTATTGATATGTTTTTTAGTTTGAAAGACACAATTTTGTGACAACCAAAAATTTGTTATCCGTATTTTCTTTATTTCTTTATTAATTTATCTTTTATCCTCAGAGCTTGCATAAGAGGCTTGCATTAGAGAACTTCTGGATGATGGAAAAATTGCCATTTTGCTAAAAACTATTTTATAGTTTTTCAAATCAAACTTTATCTGCGACAGACTGGTGACCTTTATCCTGCCTCTTGCCCATAGAATGCTGGACATGGGCATCGGCCCCACCTTGACCAAAAAATCTGATGAACAGAATAAAATACCACCTAAATAAAAATTAAACAAAAGATCTGAGCCTGCTACAAATACATTGCTATGCAAGCTGTAAATATGGAAGTTTAAAATGTTTTTTCTTTCCATAAAATATGGATTTTATTTCCAAAATCTAGATTTCGAAATGATGAATTTAATAACAAGGCTTGTATGATGCTTCAATTTTAATTCATTAGGAAAATCTATATTATGTAATTTTAAGTGTTTTCGAAGTCAGACTGACACCAATCTAAATTAAATGATTTAGTGAGAGTGGTTTAAAAACAGGAAAGTAAAGTTTTTATTTCCACATCTGTTTTAACCACATAGAAACACACATCTACCACATGTTACAGAAGAAGAAGCTTTGTTTATCTAGTTTAGGGGTTTGGGGGAATATAACTGACTACTTTAGCACTAAAAGGCAAGAGATTACTTTAACCTGCGTCTGTCTGTGTATTTCTGAAAATATGCCAGCTATAGTTCCCCTTTGCGGTTGCCTGGCTTGTCTTGGGAAGGTAGAGGGATCCTACAGCTCTGCACTGATTCCACCGTTACACAGTAACACAATCCAGACTTTCTGGTAAATGTAACCTACTAGAAAAATTGAACCTGATGCTAACCGCCAATGAAATTATGACCTCTGATTGCTGCTGCGCCACACACCAACACTGCCCCAGGGCTAGTGAGCCAGCCAGCCGGCCGACCGGCCGGCTAGGAAGCACAGGATGGAGCAGGCAGGAGAAAAAACTTATTAGTTTTCCATTTATAGGAGTGCTTTAGTGCCTATCCCATGCTTTCCCCCTCTCCATATCATCATCATCGAAATGTGAAGTAATCTCGCCTTGACATTCAAATCAACACATTTCACGTGAAGCAGAAATTACTCAAGTGTACCTGAACTATTCATTTGTGCTTAAAGCAGCAGAACAGAATGGGAGGTTGAGCAACAGAACTGTTAAGAGGTGAAGGTTTAACATTTTTCAGGTATCAAGTTCCAAATTTGATTCAGCTAGAAGAAGCTGTGATTAGCAAACAGAAAACTGGATATTACAGTAATGGAGTTTCTTTCCAAATTTATCTGGAAAAAGTGCAGGCTTTGAAAAGGGAAATTAACGGCCAAACATGTCAGTTTCACCTGTTTAAGATTATGCGAGAAATAACAATTTCTCATGGAAATCGATACCTGGGCAAAATCATTTTTCCTGGTTTAAAGTATGAAAAATCCATTTAATTTTTTTTTAGCTTTTTAATTAAGTTTCATCCGGTTGTTAAGACAGCCAAACACAAAAAGGACTTCCTTGTTTTAGGTCAGTCTAAGCGAGGCCAAACGCTGACGTTATTGCATTCCTCTCTAATGCTCGAGCAGGGTAAGGGTAAGGGCTTTGGACCGTAAACCTTTTTTATTTTACTGGTTCCCCTCTGAACAAATTTTTCATCTCCCTGGATTTGTGGAGAGAGGGAGGGAAGAGCGACGTGAGGAGAAACTCAAACCAGCTGTTCTTTAACAGAATTAAAATCTTGACCCCCAACCCCAGCTCTAATGCAGCCATTCTCTCGCCAAGTCTCTCCCAGCAAGCCCTAAGATCCAAAGAGGAAAAGACTTTGACCCTGTGACCCCTCCTCCTCCTCTCTGAGGCTCCAGCACCCCGATAAGGGGGTGGAAGGGTAGAGAGGAGGAAACAGAGGAGAGCAACGGGTAAATGCTGGGAGTCCAAAGTGACCTCACATGGAGCCAGCTATGAGCTCTGTGTTCCAGAAGATGGACTGCCAACTAACACTGGTGGGGGCTCATTGCTCTGTTGTTCTAACATGTTTCCACTCGCTTGCAGATCTTTAATAGTTGAAGAAAGCTTCAATATATCCCATCTTGAGCACCAGATGACTAAGTTATCCACTAATGCCCACCAGAAGATAACCTCGATGTTCTTGTGCATAATTATTTAATTACTGGGGGCGTCTCGATTTGTTTAGGGGAAGAAAAGCAGCTCGTTGAGTTAAGCTCTCAATAGCGCCTGCTTTAAAATACCCCCATTCTGGTGCAAGTGACTGGAATGTCTCTATTATCAGGGAATTACCTGCCAATTAATCAGACACAATCTGTCAATAATCAGCTCCTGTCACCTCTTTCACGGTCGGTGAAAGAGGTGACAGGAAAGCCATTTTCTTCCCCACAGGACTCAAAATTACATGGTGTCTCCTTGTACCCTGTTGACAATAGCTGCCCATGTTTGTTCTCCCCATGTAATTTGTTTCTTTCAGAGTGTGACAGCCAGCATGGATCAAAACAGATATTTGAGAGCAATGTTTTTCTGTGTGCCAATTATAGACCCATTTAAGTTCCTAAAGCCAAAAGAACCCCAAACACATACATATGGCACAGTAATTAGGCCAAGCGCAGCCGCCATAGCTGTAGCCTGATTATGAATGATTTTTTATGGACTCAAAGCTAATAAACACATAAAAACCTCAACAAATGTAAAGCATTTCAGACTCAAAAGGCCAAGACAAATATAAGAGTTTGAATCTACACATTGAGTTTTTCCACTCTCTTACTTCATTGCTTTTTGTAGGTTTATTGTGTCCTAACTATGAGATAATTCCTAATTTAACAATGGTCAGGGTTTTGGGACCTCCAACATAGAATTTCCTCTGTTTGTGTGCACACAGAATAAAAATGGAGAGGCTTGCTGGAAGAATGAGTAGTACTCCAGGAATTACTTTTCCCAGCTGGGGCTGGTATAAACCTCCTCACCAGCTCCCTGTGAAGACTGGAATAGCTAATAGAGGAGGTGGCTGCAGGGAATGTTGTACAGCAACCCATACACATTCTCATTAGAAGCCACTTCTGAGGGGCTCGTAAACACCACACAGCCATGAAAGATGCAGTAGAAGTGGATTCAATGGAAAGAAAGACTTTAAGGGGTGGGTTTTACTGTTCGGAGTGTCATTTGAAATTTCACAAATTAACACTTGGTGGAGAACCTGCAGGTAAAACTATGTTGTAAAATTTAGAGGGAGCCTAGTAAGGGTACCTTTAGTAGCAATGTGTGTGATTAAAATTCTGTTCTTTGCAGAGGAAATCTACAGATATAAATTATCAGTTCTATTTCCATTACCTGTTTTTTTTTTTAATAAAGCTTTGTCCTACACTGATAGCCATTTGGATTCCTTCTCAGGAACTATGACATAAGAAGATACAAGAACAACAGGTCTGAACGATGTCAAAAAGATGTGTGATTTAAATTATTTTGGTGAACATTGCAATGACTATTGAACCCAATTCTCCTGACTCTTCTTTTTATCATCATTGCACAATGTCTGCAATAGTATAAAAGTTACACCATTTTAGTTACTGAAAAAGTACATATGGTACATTCATCCCAATTAGGGTGCATCTACTGTAACTAACCAAATAGACTAAAGATATGCAGAGCATATATATGTTATCAAAACCACACCACAGCAGTCCTTTGAAACTACTGTACTGTACTGAAATTATGTGCTGAAGGTTCTCAGTCATCCAGGTCATAGTCATTCCGTAAAAATTAAAAAAATATCCACTGGACTTGGTTTCCAAGATTTGAAGACGTTTCGCCACCTCTCCAGGAAGCTTTCTCAATTCAAATGTCTGGATCCGCAGTGAGTTTGAGTCTTATATATTTATATATATATATATATATATATATATATATATATATATATATATATATATATATATATATATATATATATATATATACTGAAATTATGATTTCGATCATGAATTATTTCTTGCTAGTTAGCAGTTCATAATGGCAATTAGCAAAAGTTAGCATTGCTCACATGAGAAAAGCAGCAGTCTTAATGCGTATTCCTTGGAGAATGAAGAACATTACCCTAAATATCAGATTACCAAAAGGGCTGCACATTTCTAAATACAGCATTCTCTTTAACGGAGTTCAAAAGCTAAAAAAGATCATTTTTCTTGTTTAAGGTATGTCCCAAACTTCCAAAATCTCATATAGTTGAGGGACTGAACCTTAGAGATTTGCCTGCCCGGACAGTAAAACCTCATTGTAAAAAGATAAAACAGAATCTTCTTGTCTTAGTAACAATACCCACACCAACAAGTAATAATAGCAGAGGTTGGCACTTATTTATATGCGCATTCAGTGATAAGGGTTTCCAGTTGGGCTGAAAACCAATATATTATAGTAAGAAGAAGATATTTAGGTGATCTTTAACTCAGAAGGTGTGAGAGTAGAACACATATTTGTTAGCAGGATGGAAGGTTTTGTAATGTTGGCAAATGGGGACAGTCTTCTCTTCTTAGGAACTTTTGAACATTGTTATTCCATGGAAGTCCCTTTTTCTCTCTCCTCACCAAGCAAATAGGGGTTCCTCTAAAACCTTCAATCATCACTAACTCAAACCAGATGTTCCTACTGTACCAAAGAGTGAAGACCCTCCATGAGAAGGCACTGCTACTGGTCTATCAAAACACTCTTTTGTTTA